TATTGCAAAATAATTTTTTTATGTGTTTCACACCGTGTGTAAAATCAGTTGTGTAACATCGACGGTTCCTCCTGTTGCAACTTCGCTGTGGGTAGAAATCTATTTTTAGAATTCCTGGTTTTCTCTTGGCGGCACCCATATACAATCATTTGATCGGATCGTTGTTTAATTGTTCGATTGTTCGATTGCAAGTGATTTTTCTTAAGCAAAAATTTGATACAAATAAAATATTTTTATAATTTATGATTCTATATTCATATCCTCAAAATATCACTCACATTCCCAAAAATAATTTGGTCGTCAATAATCGGGTGATTGTGCATGTGAACTGCGATCTGCAAAATTTGATAAAACATACATCATTTTACAGTTATGATTAGTATATTAAAAGTAAATTACGTTAGTATTTTTATTTTATGAATTTTATGAATGATGCTCTGAAAGTTATATCTGTCAATTAGAATCGAGATAGTGGTATTTGCAAAAAACTTGTAAGCAAAAGCAATGGTGAAAAGGTAAAATTTTTATTGAATTTCGTCATTTACAATGAAATTTACTTCACGTTTATTAAATTTCGACGAGTTAATATCATACTGAAATAGAAAGGCCTAGTCAATTTTATGCTAAAAAATTTTACTGAAAAGCTATTTATTTTAATGCAGCAATTATTTGTCAAATTTCTGATAAATTTTTATGAACTTAATTATTTTGTAAAAAAGGTGTACATGATTTTAAGTAGTGTCTATCGCGAGAATTTCATATAAACTGGTTTCGATATATCGTGATTTTAATTAGTCTTCGCTATGTCGAAAGTTCACTATAATAAGTGTGACTTGTATATATAAAAATATTGTACATTAAAACATGGTATGAATTATTTTTTGGTATTAGTTGTTAGATCAGATTGAAATTTTGTATTAAATAAGGACGCTTACAAATACCAGCTTATAATATCTCCACTTTTTGCTAAGACTTTTATTAAATTTTAGCAAGTAATTGCAAGTCTCAGTCGGGAGTAGTGTGTAATAATTTAGTTTAGATGGCGTAATAATTTAGCTATCTATTAGATTGTATCCAAGAAAAATCACAATTCACACAAAATATATATATTATATTATGACGGTATTCAATTTATAGAATCTTTCGTCATTTTACATAATAAATGTATTATGACACTATAATCTCGTCATTCAAAATATCATACTAATATTAATAATAAAACCCATTCACAATTCAGCAAGAGAAGGCGAAAATTTTTTTCAAATAATATTCACCATGACTGAACAAAGCCCAACGAAGTCCAGCATAAAAACTGCAAAAAATCCTAAAGATACCATGATGGCCGTCGAGTGGCATGGAACAGCTGATGTTCGCGTTAATATGAAACGACCAAGACCTGTGATTACTGTAAGTTCAAAAAAAAATTTTGACAATTGAATAAAAATATATTTATTTACTAATTTGTTTATTGAAAAAGAAACCGACTGATGCCATCGTTCGCATTACCGCAACGACAATCTGCGGATCTGATCTTCACTTGTATCATAAAGCAATTCCTCGCGTGGCGAAAGGTGACATTATGGGTTACGAAGGAATGGGCATAATTCATGAAGTATTTAGATATTAAAAAGATTTGTTATATAATTATTATTACTTTTTTGTAATGATAGATTTAAATTTTTGATTATCATTAAAAAGGTTGGCAGACAGGTATCAAAATATAAAGTTGGCGATCGAGTCGTTATCTCATCCGTAATTGCTTGTGGATCTTGCGGTTCTTGCAGAAGAGGGTTGTTTAGCTGTTGTGATATTTCTAGCCCAAATGATTCCGGTGAGAATGCAGAAAAATTGCATGGTTAGTATTATTGAATAAGTGTAAGTTTTTTTCGTACAACCCGATTTTACATACAGGAAAAAAATGTTAGAATATATATGGTTGTTTCTGATTTTAAATTTTGAAAGCAGGTACACAAGCTGAATACGTTCGAGTCCCTTTCGCTGACATTAATCTTATTCATATCTCTAATGAAGAAAATCAAAATTTAATGGTACGTAATAATAATCTTTATAATTACTTGTATCAATATATTTTACATATTAAGAAGTTTCGGATTTATCTATCATATTCAGGAGAAAGCGCTTTTACTGTCTTCTGTGGCTTGTAAAGGATTGCATGCATGCGAAATGAGTAAAGTTCTTAAAGGTAAATTTGAAACGTAAAAACCAATTAATTACTCTTAAATACTAATTCTTTACTTCTAATTAATGTAGGAGATATTGTCGGAATTTGGGGTAATTAATTTCTTCAATAAATTGATAAATTGTCAAATTTCTCATGTCAAATTTAATATGTTTTACTCATAATAAATTTAAAGGTGCCGGTCCAGTGGGAATAATGTGTGCAGCATGGGCAAAATATCTTGGAGCTTCTCGCGTAATTGTAATTGATTCTGTTCCAAGCCGCCTACAAGTTGCTCTTAAAATCGAAGGAATTGAAATAATTAATTGTAAAGAAGATAAAGACGTCGTTGGAAAGATTAAAACTTCCGTACCTGGAGGTTTGGATATTGCTATTGATGCTGTGGTAAAATATTTAAGAATAATGAATTCCAAAAATTGATGCCTTCATCCAGTTGTTACTTAATTATAAATTCAAATTTTAGGGAAATAATTATGTTACAAAATCTCTTATCGGCAAGCTTGAGAAGGCTTTTTTTGCTGAGACTGAAAGTTGTGATGCACTTGATGAAGCTATTTTGTGCACGAAGAGAGGTACACGTCTGATTATTTTAATACGTTCATAAAAATATACAAAAATAACGAATGATTCTTATAGGTGGCAGTATTAGCTTGATCGGTGATTACAACACGTTTACTAACCATTTTAGAATTGATGCCATCATGGTAAATTACTTATTTATCATATCTTAGCATTAAATACAGAAACTTATTTATTAAATCTATTTTCCATCATTTAAGGACAAGTCGCTTTCCATTCGAGGAGGCAAATCTCACAGTCGAAATCATCGGTAATTAATATTAACGTTAAGATTATCGTTAAGATTATCGTTATTAAATTATAACATCACGTGTTTAAAATTAAAAAACAGAGATATAATCCTACCAATTATGTGTGAAGGCAAAATATTCACGAATATTTTTACTCATCACATGAGCCTGTCCGAAGCTCCGAAAGCTTACAAAAAATTGGATAAAAAAGAAGAGGGAATAATCAAAATCTTTCTAATTGTCGATGAAAAGGAATTTCCTCATCTCAGTACCAGTTTTGCGAGTGGAAGTAGAACTAGTACAGTAGCCGAAACTGCGAGTAAAAGTAAACCCGATGAAGTTGTTGAAACTGTGAGTGAAAGTAGTCCCCGTGAAATTTCTGAATCTGTGAGTGATGCGAAGATCGTTATGACCGTTCCTAACTTATCTACTGAACCCATTGATCGTGTATCAAGTGAACCTATTCGTCGTTCATCTTTTGAAAGCAATGGCTTAGTTCAAGATGCTAGTTCTGCGAAATCTCACAGCGATACTGGGTGTAAAAAGGAAGAAATTCATAAAACGTCACAAAGTACTAAAAGCGACATTAATTATGATGAGTTTCATGAAAACGGATCGCATAAAAAAGACGAAGTTACAAACGACTAGATTTTTTTGGGGATTTGGATGATTAGATTGACTATAGTAGTAAAATAGTAGTAATCAATTGTAATCAGTTAAATTAACCGAATAAAGCGTCAAATATGTTAGTGCTGTATTTTAAATAAATTTGTCACTAATCACAATTCTTGAGAAAAATCTCATATGTTAAGCCACCATTATCAATCAGCAGAAACGTCATTACTTATAGTAGAGTTTTATTTAAAACCTTCATTTTAAAATTGAGGGTACTCCATATTATTTCACGTTTTATCATGTAATTATGATTTTAGGTAGCGTTCCCACAAAAAATTGTTCATCCCCAGTAATTTTGACCAATCAAAATTTAAGATCAGGTGTCAAAACAAACATAGTTTGATGTGGTCGGATTTGTATTACCGGGTTTTTATTAAATTTGGTAAAATTGATTTTCAAATTATTT